ATAATATATTATAGTCAAAACAAGTATAACTTAGCGGTAATTAGTATATATCTCCAACTTGTGAGTTCGATTCCCCACCCCACATGTTGTACAAAAAAAAAAATAATATATTATATTTTAAAAAATCTATTGATATTAATTAATAATAACAAGTAAAATTAAGTAATTAAAATATTAAATACATATTTATAATATTTTATAATAAAATCATGCAAACTAATAAAAATTGTATAAACTTTTATTAGAATAAAAGTTATTACTAGTATGAATAAAAAATAATAAATGTGAAAAAATAATTAAAAATGTATGAGTCTGATTAATAGATGATAGAGAAAAAATAAAAATAGTAAAGTATTATAATAAATATATGGGCCTACGAAATATGGAATAAAAATATGATTGATGAGATTGTAAGAGAGAAATGAGTTAGAAAATAGAAGGAAGTCCTTGCAACCATTAAATGTTTGACAACTAATAGAGAAAAAATGTAAAAACAAATATTATTTTTTAAATAGAATGAGCTGCCAATTTTTCAATAGTGTTGAGGATAAGATTTGGTTGTTAAGGAGCCAAGTATTATCGGAATGAGATTACCATTTTTTTAGGAATGAGATTACCAAGTTTAACATGAATCTCATCATTTGATTTCATTGCTACAATTTTGTAAACATCGTCAAAGTAAATGGAAAAATTCATTCTCATTACTTGAAGTAAATATGCCTAAAGGAGTTTTGGTACTAAACTTATTCAAAGTTTCAAACTTAAAACTTCTAAACTAGTATTCTCAAAGTTCTTCCCGACAGGTCGTCCCTTGATACCTATAATTTTTACTAAGTTTCAGTTTGGTGTATGTTTTTTCAAATTTTGATTCGTAGAGTTGAATTTCCTTGATTTTATTAAATTGAAACCAAATATATGAATCAAATTGAAATTAAACCTGAATCATAGGGGCGAAATGGTAATTTAACGTGATTTTTTTTTAAAGTACCTGCATGTATTAAATTATATTATCATTGCAGTTAGCTAAAAAGTTGGTGGACAAACCAAATATAAAGTTAGAAGTTTTGCTTAATTAAGGTTTGAATTCATATCATTTAAAATTGTGACATATTTATCCAACATTACGGGTTTGTTAATTCTATCACTTCATAAATCCAAACTTTTGAAATCAATTGTTTATGCTAATTATTGAACAGCAACAAAAATTCAAAGTATAAATATTTAAAATGAACTTTGATGAAGGATGAATCCAGATAAAGGATACATCATCATCGAATTGATAGTTTGATATTGCGCATACCTATTGAGGAGATAGTTCGACAGTAGGCGTATAGAATATGTCGAACAATTATAACCTCAAATAATCTTTGTTGAACAATACTATAGTCCGCAAATGGTAACTACTCAACTGTATACGCTGTCTCTAGTCGCAATTCTTCTCCAAAATCTTGAAAGTAATTGTTGAATAGACATTATCTTCATACGTGATCCCAACTGTCACGTTTTTGAAATAAATACCAAAATATTGAAGAAAAGAAGTACGCTAATTTTTTTAATCGAGAACAATGACTCTCTAGAACTCATTATTGGCAAAATCTTCAGAACTCCAGTTTTGCAGCATCTTATTCTTCAAGTATTTTTAAAGACATTAATGCTTTGGTTAATTTTAGTTAAAACAAACTTAGATATGTAATCTTGTATTTTAATAATCAACCACGTCTACTTAGGCTAATGTTGTTTTGTACATTCGATTTTTGTTACTTTTTATTAATAATATGGATATTTGGTAACTCTTGAATAAAAATTGTAATAATCCAAGGATAAAATTAGCTATTAATAAGATGTCAACATTAATGACTATTTACCAAAAAACCATAAAAAAAAACTCATTAAAAAGTATTTAGATTATCAAAATAAAATATAGTGATATATATATTAATATATTTTTTTTTGATAACTTTACGATATAACAGAAATGTTGATTCGAGTTGAAATAATATTTTTTTGGAATCTGGATTGAAGTTTGGAAGTTAATATTAAGGGAAGTAATAATACTTTTGTAAAATCATTATATTATTTAACATATTAAAAAATATCCTATATTTGTGGGGGCAATTTTCTAATAATTGATTAAATTTTAAATTTTTGTTGATTGAGTGAGGCAAAAAGGAGACAGGCTCCAAGCCACCCTGTGCTTTGGGCCACCTTGGCATGTATTTCTAATGTTTAATATTATTATTCTAGAAATATTTTTTTAGTACATTATTCTAAAATCTTTTTGGAAAAGTAACTACCACTAATATAATAATAAAAAGTATGACCTATGTTATCATTTTTTTTTAAATAAATAAAAAAATTAGGGACTTGAGAATTCCACCTCCATCTTCATTCAATTAATTAATTGGGAGTACATGGACTGTAGTTGGAATTTTTTTTCCCAATTTGTTTATTGCTATTAGTTTGTGGTTAATTGTTTAACTTTGATAACATGATTTTAGATATGTGTGTTGGGTGGTACGAAACGACTTTCTACCTAGCAGAAATATAGAGATTCGAGAGAGTTCGAGGTATAGCATTTCGGACCTGCGGTTCGAGGAATCATGCCTCGAGACTCATTGTGATCTCGACAGCGACGAAGTTCGAGACAAAGTGTTTGTGAGTAAACCGCAGTCAATTACCTCTCTATTATGGCGGAATCTACACCTAGGTTCCACGAGTAGTATTTGATAATCATTTAGTGGGTTTCACCTGTCTGCCCTATAAATAGGGAAGCTAGCTTCATACACAGGAACACAGTCTTATTATTGATTGTTTGTTCGTCTAGAGATCACCTTAGTTTCTACTAACTTGAGCATGATAATTTATTTCTTTTGTATTGCACACGCCTTAGAATCATATTCCAAGTTTCCAACACCCCTTTGGGCATTCAATACAACAACAACGTGCATTAATACTAATGTGGCACGTATTGACTTTAAATATGAAAAACTTCATATGACAACTGTTATTGTTGATTTTTTTAAAGTTTAAGAACCAACCTAAAACATAAATATTTTGAAAGTACAAAAATCAAAAAAATAATTGTTTTTTTTATATTTTTATGATTGTGAGTGTATGTACCAACCTTCTACACACCTCGACTATAACTTTTTTCCATAAAAGTTTATAGACTAAAATAAACATTTTTAAAAGTATAAGAACTAAAATAAAATAAATTTAAAAGTACTTACCAAGATTAAGATGAGATTTAAATAAAAGAGATCGGACTGGGAATTAAATAAATTTCCTATGAAATTTAAAGAACCAATTCAAAAGTTCATATTCCAAATCAATATGTGTAGAGTTTCTGATTCTTTTCTTACAAGTTTAGGTTTGCCAACGAAGAATCTGAATTTGATTACTACACACATGACATTGAAAATCCAACTCAACAATAGGTTATAGAACGTAGATGATGCACTTACTTTTATTTATTTATTTATTTCAAGTATGACAAATGTGAGATGATGAAAATTCGAATCCACAACCTATTAATTGAAACATATGTTATAGAGATATATTCAGGTCGGTGTTGGATGCTCGATTTGTATTCTTTTTTATATTTTATTACATTAGAGTAGGGTGTTGTCCCTCACCCCCTTTCATTTTCCATCCATGCGGAATTTGTGAGAATTGGATTCTCTAGAAATTATTCTTCGTTTATTTATTTTGTTCAGGGACTTCCAATTAAATGGTTAAATTTTTGGGTAGGCTCCCCTTAAAAAGAGAATTATTAGATTTTCTGAACGTTTATTTATTTTGTTTAGGGGAACTTCAATTAAATGGTTAAATTTTTGGATAGCTCCCCTTAAAAAGAGAAAATTATTAAATCTTCTAAAAACATCTCATAATTAATTATTAAATTTTCTGAACGTTAATTTATTTTGTTTAGGGAACTTCCAATTAAATGGTTAAATTTTTGGATAGGCTCCCCTTAAAAAGAGAAAATTATTAAATTTTCTAAAAACATCTCATGATTCTTGAATCAACAAATTTTAAAATCTAGACATGTTTAATAAGCATTTTGATTTTATGTTTTTTTAAAATTAAGTCATGTTCCATTGTTTTGTTATATAGTTTTTTTTTTTAAAAAAATCAAAATATAAAATAAAAATAAATAGTTTTTTGTTTTAAAAATTTTCCTAAGATCCAAATATAGATATAGTTTTCAAGAGAAATGACAAACTAACCAATGAAATTGTATAAATACAAATAAATTTTTTAACAACTAAAAACTAAAAACGAAAATTCACAATTCAAATTATCAATACAAATAATGCTCCAACCGTAAACATTACAGTGATGTTTCATGAATTTCATATACAAATATTTAAATTAAGTTTTTAAATATATATAAATAAATAAAAATAAACAAGGTAGAGACAGGGACAAGGGTGGAGAGAGGAAGGGAACATATTCCCCGTTCTCGTTTAGATCACGAAGAAAAAACTTCCCTGGCCCCACTCACCAGAGTGTAACGGAGGACAAGTTCCACAAGACAAAGTAACATCCCTATCGAAAGGGTCGCTTCCTTGGGTCAACCAAAAAGATTGAAAGGAAAAAAACACCAATGAATCGAATCGATTCGATCAAGCCAGTTTGAACGATGTGTAATATAAAATTTAGTTTTTTTTTTGTTAAAAATTTGGTGTTTGTAGGGCATTGTTCGATTTAAACGTTAGATCGATCGGTCAATCCAACATCAATGTTGGCCTAAAACTATCTCGACCCGACCCAACAGCTGTATAGCCCTACTACATAGAGACATAACTGCAGAAACATTCAGGCATACTAATATTATATTATATCTAAAGTAATTTTCCAAATGGAAAATCAAAATTCAAAAAAGGCTACTCAAAAAGAGATTGGAGAGTCAAATACTCAAAACTTATTTATCAAAAGTAATATGCCATTCCAAAAGGATTAGATCAAGAGACCTTTCATCTTCACAGCTCTTTATATATAAAAAACGAAAAAGCTACAAATTTTCATTTCCTTTCATTAAAAAATGGTTTTCTACATCACATATTGTGTTTTGACCATCAAATTTCCAAACATATCAACAGAGAAAAGTTTCTTACTGCACAAGTTCTAAGTTGACTCCTTGATCAGTCATTGATGAAGTTCCTCCACGCCACATTGCTTTCTATTGGCTTTCTCGAGCTCAGTATGTGCTCGGTCGGGTCATCAGAAGCCATAGGTTTCCTCAGTTGCTCATAATGCTTCCTGCACTGCACATATAAGATTACGGTACCGACACATCATCGCTTCCTTTTTCTGAAATTGTTTGTTTTCCTTGGGAACATCGGCAGAGTTATGAACTTTCGTCAAAAGTCGATATTTTTTTTAATCTATGAACTCTTGTTCGTGTCAGGTGGTGGAGACCCTAACGCTCTTATATCAATGGAGGCCCCATAAACTTGAGAGGATTGAATTACTGCATCATATGTCTTAGAGGAAAGATTGAGACTATCATTCTTAGCCCTCAAGTATAACTCATAAGCAAGCCTCGGTTTTCCTTCCTTTGCAAGGGCCTCGATGAGCAACTCGTAACTCACCTCGTTTGGAGAGATGTTTCGAACTTTCATTCGGTGAAACCACTCGTAAGCTACACTGCTCAAACCATTACGGACACATCCCGTGATTATTGCATTGTAGGTGACGACCGTTGGCTCAATGCCAGATGATACCATATCATTGATAGTGACTTCAACCATGTTGAACTTTCCTTGGCCAGTGAAAACTGAAGCCATAGTTGTATAAGCATAGATGTTTGGCTTTACCCCGACTTTAATCATATGATCCCAGACACTACGTGCTTCATCATAGAGTTTTCCCTTTTCCAGAGCGCTAAGTAGTGCCCCGTAGGAAAGAATGGTGGGTTTTTCGCCTTGTTCGACCATTCTCCTAAAAATTTCTATAGCTGCAGAAGTTTCTGCAGCTTTGGAACAAGCAACAAGAACCGCGTTCCATTCCCGACTTCCGGGTTTAAGACCTTTCTCTTCCATTTTGTTGAGTAACCTCACACCCCATCTCCAAATCCCCCTTTTCTTTGCAGCTGTGAGAAGAACATTAAAGTGCGAGACAATTAGTTCATATGACATGTTATTTGGTTTTGGTCCTTTCTCCAACAAATCTTCATAAATCTCCAAAGCTGCCCACCATTTCTTAGCTTTCCCCATCAGCCAAATCACATGATTACAAACAGATAAACTTATACCACACTGTTTTTCTCTTATCCTGTAGTACAATTCTTTTGCTACATTATGGTGTTCCGCACACGTACAAGCCCAAATAAGTCGTTCCTCTTCGGCACGATCAAGTGACAGTCCGGCCTTATCCATTTCCACGAGAAGTTGCAACACCTTCGTGCTTGCACTGTAGCCCTTCACAAGCCAAATCCTCATTACTTGGTAGCAAACGCGTTTCGTGAAGTTTTCGAGCTTCATGAATTCGTCAGCCCAATCTACATTATCATCTTTTGCCATCTCACCGCTACGATATTTTTCTCTCAACTCGGTCATGAACTTCAAAGCTCCATTCCCATCTTTCATCCTTCGGTATGCTTGTAAGCCCGTAGAGTAGGACACGGGAGACGGAGTTAGGCCTTTCTTCGGCATCTCTTCAAGAATGCCAAGAGCTTTCATTGCTAGTCCTTGTTCCAAGTAAATTGACATAATTGTATTGTATGTAATGACATTTGAAGTGATTCCTTCCTGTGCCATATCAGCCAAGACATCTTCCATTTTCGAAAACACTGTAGATTGCTTAACTGCACCGAGAAGACTATTGTATATGAACAAATTCGGTGCAATACGACCATCGGTTTCAATCTTCTTTCTCTTCAGCCAATCAACAAGAGCCACTGCACACTCCAACCTTCTATCTCTCCCAAAACCCCTAATCATGGATGAGAACACTTGAAGAGGCAATTCACCCACATCCTTGAGAACCTCCTCAACATCATCTGCTGTTCGGGTGAGCTGCAAACGACCTGCTAGGGCACGAACATCGACCCAAACATCTCCCTCTCCCTCCATTCCGTCCTCATCTTTAAAATCCCCTCCTCCATGGCCATTTTCACCATTAACATTGTGATGATCATCCCAATCCAAACCGCCATAGCCCTCCCCCTCACTTCTCTCAGCCAAATCATCTTCAGAATTCGATTCAACCCTAACAATTTCATTACCAACCGTTGGTTGTTCAACAGCCCAAGCAGATAAAAACCAGGCGCCCAGAGAATTCCTCTTCGGCTTCATCAATCGAGCAACTATAAGCTTAGAACATCCATGGCGGAACTCACAACTACAGTCGAATTTCGAATTCTCGTAACAAAACCCACTTCTAAAAACTCTTAAATTGAAGGAAATCAAAGAGAAACCGCCATTTCCACAACAACAATCAGAAAACCCTACGCACTTTAGCCTTTTCCCTGACCGACGAACTACGCAAGAAGAACCTAATTCGACTTTGGAACTACTAGTCGGACACCAATTGCTTAGAGCATGCATTGTATACGGAAATTTACGAGAAAAATAAGATAAACCCAGAATTTGAACGCCGATGAATCTCAGAGTCTTATGTATGATTTTCCGTTTGCAATCCAAATTTGGAAAGAGAAATGAAGAACGAAATTACCTTATAGAGATGAATGTGCTCCACTCTGAACTGGAAAAGAGAGGGTCGAAGAGAGAAATTTAATGGGTTTTTGGATAATATGGATTTTGGAACAGAACGCTTGTGTCTTATCAGTTATCACAGCCACTCGATTGTAGTGAGCGCCAGTGTTACATTTCCAAATCTCACCACCATGGCTTGAATTAAACTTTTGTTAAATTATAAATGTCGACTATAAATGTGTGTTTCTTTTTCACGGATGGTCGAATCTCCGATCCTTTGGTAGAGAATATATGTTTATGCTCAAATTGGCACACGAAAATGAGTTTATTTAATCCTAAATCTCTTCTCTTAATACCATTACTTTATTAGACACGTTGATTTGAGTTAACCCGTAATAGTTTAGCCTGAAGCGGCAACGTGTAACACATGAGAGTAGATTAATTAAATAGATTAGATGTAGAAGATAGTTAGTCCGAATATATATATGTGGATAAGACAAATTAGAATTACAGTAGTAACAATTGCTTACCGCAAGTGTACGGTTTCAAAATATCAAGAATTGAAATAATTCTGTTTGTATTATCTTGAATTCATTATCATTTACAAAGTAATCCATGGGCTATTTATAGGGAAGTGTATTTGTACTAGGCCCATTAACAGAATTAGGAATTAGGCCTATATGTTACAAACAACAAAACTGAAACCCAATTTTAGTGATTGGTTTTAACTCCCCCCGCAAGCCAATGTCTGTCGGTGAGTAGACATTGAGCTTGATTTTCAGAATCTGAAATCGTGCCGATGATAAAGGCTTTGTGAGGGCATCTGCGATTTGCGCAAGAGAGGGGAGATGTTGTACACGAAGTTTGCCAGAAATCACAAGATCCCGAATGGAGTAGATATCAATCTCTACGTGCTTCGTTCATGAATGGAGAACCGGATTGGCACTGAGATGGACTGAGCTAAGATTATCACACCAGAGAATCGGTGGATTAGGGATCAGAATTCTCAACTCCGAGAACAATGTTTTCAACCAGATCAATTCTGAGGCAGCGAGGGCAAGAGAACGATATTCTGCTTCTGTGCTTGAACGTGAAATTATTGCTTGTTTCTTAGATCCCCATGATATAGGATTATTACCTAAGTAAATGCAAAATCCAGATGTTGATTTTCTGTCATCAGGGTCGGAAGCCCAATCTGCGTCTGAGTATCCTTAAAGAGTTAATGTAGTAAGTTTTGTGAGAAGTAACCCATGATCAAATGTCCCTTTAAGGTACCTTAGGATTCGTTTAACTAACTGCCAGTGAATCATGGTAGGTGCATGCATGAACTGACAGGTTTTGTTTACAGCATAAGAGATTTCGGGCCTTGTAAGTATAACATACTGTAGCGCCCCAACAATGCTTCTGTATAGATATGGGTCTGCTAAAGAATCACCTTGTCGGGCAGAAACAATGGAGCCACTGATCATAGGTGTAGCAATGGCATTAGCTTCATGCATCTTAGCTCTTTTTAATAGATCAGTGATATACTTGGCTTGAGACAGAAAAATGCTTGTAGCTGTAGGATAGGACACTTCGATGCCTAAGAAATAGCTGAGTGTACCGAGATCCTTTAAGGCAAACTTGTTGTGTAGTAGATTGATAAGTTGTTGAGTTTCAGTCGAAGAACTACCCGTAATCACTATATCATCCACATATATTAAAATATAGCAACAGTTACCACCTTGAAATCTGTAAAACAGAGAGGGATCAACCTTAGAGCCAACAAAATTAAGCGTTGTGAGAAAAGTACTTAGTCGTTCAAACCAAGCCCTAGGCGCTTGCTTTAATCCATATAAGGCTTTCCGTAGTTTGCACACCATATGTTCTGAACCACCAGCTACAAAACCCGTAGGTTGTTCCATTAAGACAGTCTCATGTAGTAGTCCATGAAGAAATGCATTATTAATGTCTATCTGACGAAGTTCCCAACCGTTTGCTAAAGCAAGAGTGAATAGAACCCGAATAGTTATTGGCTTGACAACCGGACTAAACGTTTCCAAATAGTTTATATCGGCCGTTTGATGGAACCCCTTAGCTACTAGTCTTGCTTTGTACCAAGAGACCGAGCCATCCGTATTTCTTTTGATCTTGAAGACCCATTTGCCGCCTATTACTTTTTGATTTGGTAAAGGTGTAGTAAGTTCCCAGGTTGCATTCTTCATAAGAGCATTGTATTCATCAATCATGGCCTTTCGCCAATGTTCATGTTTAAGAGCTTCTTTAGCTGTTGTCGGTTCTGTTTCTGTGTAGTCTAGAAGATAGACCTTAGGCTTAAAAATGCCATTCTTTGCCCGAGTAGTCATGGGGTGTATATTTTGGTCAGCCAAAGCACTTTGTGAAACCATATTAGAGTTGTCTATAGGTGCAGCTGTAGAAGCAGGTTGTGAATAAATGGGTGGACGAGTATTTTCTGGTGGTTGTGAGTTAGGGACATATTGATTTGATGACGGAGTAATGATAGGTGATGAAGAAGATGGATTTAAGTTGGGTAGATCAGGAGAGTGTAAGTCAGTAGGATCATTTGTATTGGAAGAATTATTAGGACTACAGAGAGGTGGAGGGATAGGTGTAGTCGGTGAGGGTTTTGATATAATAGGAATGGAAGATGAAATTGAGGTTATGGGTGAGATTTTGAGGTTGGTTTGGTTTTGAAACGGAAAGGAGGTTTCATGGAAAAGAACATGACGAGATATGTATAATCGTCCACTAAATGACAAGCATTTATAGCCTTTGTGGATGTTACTATAGCCTAGAAATATGCATGGAGTAGAGCGGGGTATTAGTTTATGATTATTATAGGGTCTAAGATTAGGATAACATAGGCATCCAAAAGTTTTGAGAGAAGAATAGTTTGGGGTGTGATGAAACAATTTTTCCATGGGACTTTTCCATTCAATATTTGGAGATGGAAGTTTATTGATGAGATAGACCGCAGTTGAGAATGCATCATTCCAAAAATTCCAAAGGCATAGAGGATTGAAAGAGTAAAGTTAGGCCGGTGTCAACAACATGTCTATGTTTACGTTCGGCTATCCCATTTTGTTGGGACGTATAGGGACATGAAAAACGATGATGTATACCTTGTGTTTTGAGATAATAAGTAAAAGGTTTGAATTCCCCTCCCCCATCAGATTGAAAAGTAATGATTTTAGTATTTAGAATGTTTTCTACAAGGGCTTTGAATTGAAGAAAGGCTTGAAAAGCTTGCGCTTTAGATTCTAAGAAGTAGATCCAAGTGAATCGTGAATAGGCATCAATAAATGTTATGTAATATTTATATCCATTGCGTGATGTTTTATAGGCGGGACCCCATAGATCAGAAACGGCTAGTTGAAGAGGGGCAGTGAAATTAGTAGTAGAAGTAGGAAAGGGAAGAGAATGATGCTTTCCAATAGCACATGCATGACAAAAAGTAAGATTTTTATTGATTGATAAAGGTGGAGTACATTGTTTAAGAGCTTGATGTATAACTGGGGGATAGGGATGACCTAATCTTCTATGCCATATATCAATTGGAGAGTTACAATTCTCAGAAAGGAAAGCACAAGAGTCTGAGTTAGATGAGAGTAGAGTAGGTTGTGAGATATGGTTAATAGATGATCTGATAGTTGAAGTGCCTGTGAGGGATGTAGATGATGCATTCAACTGGAATCGATATAGCCCATTATGAAGAGTCCCTTAGAGTAATGTTTTACCATTGGTTTGGTCCTTAACAAAACAGAAGGATGAATGAAATTCAAAGTATACATTGTTATCTCTAGCAAACTGACTTACACTTAGGAGATTTTTAGTGACAGTAGGAACATGTAAAAGGTTTCTAAGATGAAAGATATGATTGGAGGGGGATATAATAGATGAATAGCCGATGTGGGTGATAGACAAACCTGCTCCGTTGGCGGTATGTATATGCTGCCCATTGGTTACTTCGTTGCTTTGGCTGAGATTGTTCATATCATAGGTGATATGATTGGTTGCTCCCGAATCAGGATACCAATTAGTATCTTTGTTCAGATCAGGAGACATAACCATTGCTGCCATTTGGGGTTGCTGTGAATAAGAGTTTGATGTTGAGTGAGGTCTACTGGAATGGAATTGTCCAGGGCTCCCATTATTTGATAACCGAAAATAACATTTATCTGCAGTGTGGCCAAATTTATGGCAAATTTGACATTGTACTCTGTTACGTGGATACCAGTGACGACCCCCACCTATGTTATTTCTGTATCTTCCTCTCTGATTTTCTGTATGCTGATTTCTGCTGGTATCACTTTGATTCTGATATGAATTGTGATGTTGCTGATTATTTTGTGAGGTACTTTGATGATGTGCAAGATTCACTGATGGCAATGTTATATCTTTTGATGTTGAAATTGTCGTTTCTTTCTCAATTCGACTTTCATGTGAAAGAAGTAGCGTAGTAACTTCTTGAATAGACACAATTCCTGTCTTGGCAGTAATTACAGATATAGTAGATTCATATTCGGACCCTAGTCCTGAAAGAATATGTAGAATGTGATCCTCATTTGATATTGGTCGTCCTGTCGCCTTTAAAGAATCTGTTAAATTCTTGATTTGCCTCATATATTCTTTTATGCAAGAATTTCCTTTTCTTATGTTTTGTAACTTTGTCTTTAGTTCCATCACTTTAGCAAGATTTCGACTAGTAAACATTTGATGAAGACTCTGCCATATTTCTTTTGATGTTGTGCAGTGAAGCAAATCGGCAAGAATGTCTTCAGTCATGGCGCCAAGAATCCATGACATGATGAGTCGATGTTGTCTCTTCCAGAGAGTATAAGGAGTGTTTACTGACCTTGTTTCTTCCGTATTTCCTGTGTTTCTAATGAACTGTGGTGGGATTTCAGAATCCTCATCAATGAATGCTTTAAGCCCGTTTCCTTCTATTGCAGCCAATATTTGGAATTTCCACAACAAGAAGTTATCATCACTCAACTTCACCGTCGTAATCTTGCTGCCTGGGTTCACTACTTGAGTGCCTTGTGTTGCAGTAATTTCAGAATTTGCCTCCATGGAATCTGTCATTATCTATCTTCCACAATCTGATACCATTTCAAAATATCAAGAATTGGAATGAATTCTGTTTGTATTATCTTGAATTCATTATCATTTACAAAGTAAGCCATGGGCTATTTATAGGAAAGTGTATTTGTACTAGGCCCATTAACAGAATTAGGAATTAGGCCCATATGTTACAAACAACAAAATTGAAACCCAATTTTAGTGATTGGTTTTAACTTACGGGTCATCCACTTGATTGGGTTTCTGGCCACTCAAGTACAGATAAGGTCCAATTTTATCGAGAAACAACAAGGAATTTCTTTTCAACACAAAGAACAAATAAAATAGCAAAGCGATTAATATACTCTAACGAAAACTTTTATGGAGAACGGGTCATACGAAATTGATTTCACCAATCGAACTCACAAGCAGACAAATTAAACATGTCAAGATTGAATTAGCTGCAATTAATCTAAGGCAAGAAATCATGAATCATAACTGTCTCTCCTGAGCACAATTAATTCTCTCACTTATTAAGAAACCAATATCCCTATCTAGTTTTATTAACAAGCAAGACCTTAAAGTCTTATTCTTTTAACAACCTCTAAAGTAATTCTAAATTTCTCGATCTTAAAACTACCTAAGTTATGCATTCAAGTTCCAATCTAAACCACCTCTCCCGAGCATGAGATTTAGATTTAGCATCAACTAATCCGTGATCAAGAGATTAAAAACATTAAGCAAATAAATGCACAAATAGATTAAGAACAAATCAATCAAGGCAATTATTAATAAATCCAACTCATAAATCTAGTGGCTACATTAATCCCTGTAACAAAAAATTTAGCTACTCATGTTCGTAAAAGTACAGCCAAATCCCAATGAGAAGTTCAGCGAAAATAGAAACGCTGAAGGAAATGAGAGAAACAAAATCCGTTGTGTCGAATGATCATCATCGACGCAGTCTCCACGATCCCAAGCCTTGAAAAATAGTCTCCTCGCCATCATCCCTTGGTTTCCCGAACTGCTCCTCTCAATTCTCGAAATCTCCAACAAAAACAATACCAAGGTCCTCCAAAACGACGCCCAAACTCTTTATTTATGTAAGGGCATCGCTACAACGCCATGACACCATTAGTGAATGCCATGACACTGTCCTTAAATTGACGAACGTGCAAAGCTCGTAGGGCCATGACGCTACAAGACAGCGCTGCTGCGCTATCATCACAGGAAAAGACCCAACTTTCGTCTGCAGGCGCCATGGTGTTGTCTGATTCTCTGTCATGTAGGATTTTCCTGATTACTTATGTTTCAATTCTTTCTAATGGATCAATCCTCTAAAAATATAAGTTATATATGTAAATATACCATGAACAATCGAAAATTGCCAAATAATTCTCACCTAAATGTAATGAATGTTGATTATAAAGTACACTATCACCGTCCCTAATGTTGATGATTTCCTCAAAATTGTTGATATAAAAAAAATTACAAAAAAAATCACTCCAAGCATTCTATTTACCATTTTATAAAGACCAATGGTTCAATCTCCTGCCAGCAATGGTTAGAAAGAAAAAAAAAGAGCAGTCTAAAAATTTTAGTTTAAGATGTATTTTGCCTGCTCATCTTGTCAATTTTATTACTCACTCGTGTCATTGCGTAGGCAGTGAATGCTAATGCAATCTCTGTAGAATCTCGTATTTCGAGGAGGAATTGACGAAGCGTTGATTACTTCCCCAAACTGAAGATACCTATAAATCAAGATGGTAAAACCTATTCAAGGTATGTGTAAATCTCTACTACAAGTATATACTCTAAATTGGAGCTTGAGCGTTCGAGTGTTCACCTTCTATCTTGCAGGTTTTACTCTTCATGAAGAGATTCATTTGATCATTTGAACGAATATTCTATACTCAAACGTTTTCCATCTTTTTTTTTTTCTCCATTCGATCCTAGTTAAATTATATACTAAAAGTAAAAATATAGTTTAGAGAGTTTTTTGACCTACCATTTTAATTTGCTTCGAGTTTGTTAGGTTTAAGGTTGGAACTTTTGTATTCATGAAGCTTCATTTGAATTTTACTAAAAGTAATATATATTATATAAACCGGTTTATAAAACCTCAGTTTAGTTGGTGAATCTATTATTTGGTTGGAATAAAGGAGAAATTTGGATGAAAAAGATTAGGGTGCAATCGGAAGGACCACGATTTTGAAAGCAATTTCAGCACGATGCTACATCATATGTTCCCTAGTTGCTCCCCTTAACATACCTTCAAATTCAGACGCTAGAGCCGAATGGAATCGTAGAATATGCTCCGAATTTCTTATGAAAAAAGAGTAGAAAAACTTTTTCATTCCTCTGTTTGAAGTAAATCCCAGGGTATATATAGGATGCAAAAAGAATAAAACTTTTAAAAAATTAATTTATGAAATTAATGTATAACATTAAAACGTTATCAATAATAAAATGTAATTAATTTCATAAACTAATTTAAAAACGTAATTAATAATTTAATATTTGTAAAAGCTGTTTCTCTTTTATCATTCCTAACATTATTTGCAAAAGTTAGACAATAGTATAAAATGTAACTTCATTAAGATTGAGTAATATATGTGACATTGGTTCGTAGAGTTTATGAATTTAACAAATTCATGGTAAGAAATAAGGATTTCTTTTTTTAGGGAGGTGCCCAATTACCGTTGAACTATGTTCACTTTAGCGAAAATTCTCTTGTGGAATACTAACGTTCACAATCATTAATGTTAGTCTTACTTAAAATTGATGTAGGGTATGACAATATAATTATTTATGAAAAAGATTTCATAATATGAGCAAAAAATAAATCTTATTTTTTAGAACTAAGTACGGTTTATTTCAAGAGAATGAATCAAAATCAAAATTATCCTAAAAAGTAGGAATTGAATCAATTGGTGAAACTCATCTCAACTTGGAAATCACTCCCATAAGAGGAGCAATCTCATTCTTCTCTTAAAACGTTGTCAATCTCATTCTTTATTCCGTGAATTCTGCACACATTTTCAATAATTAGTTTACAATTTTTATCTTTTCTCTCTCCTATAAACGAAACCAATTGATTTTTGATAAATTATTTTATAATTTTACTATATTTTAGTTTATTTATACAACTAATAATTTTTCATCTAATAAAAAATTATACAACTTTTAATAGTGGATTTGATTTTATTATAAATATTACAAATTTTATTTAATTTTAATTTGTTATTATTAACTGATATCAATAAAATTGTTAAAAAATTATCATTATGATTATTTAATATTTTATTGATAGTTGATGTAATTTTATTTTAATTATTAATTATTGGTTAATATTAAATAAATTAGCTCTAATAAAAAATATATTTATCAATAAAATATTATAAATATATTATTATTTTAATACAATTAGCACACTTTTTACCTAATATATTTAACAATGAGCTAGAAATGGAAAATGAGTATTCTAATAATTAAACAAAATTTATATGTCAATACATTAATTAATAATATTTTAGAGACAATTAGAATCTAGCTCAATTAGTTTAGGTATCTATCTCTCCAATGATCGTGAGTTCGAATCTTATTAAAAAAAATAATATTTTAAATTGAACTAAAGTTTTGTCTATCTCTTTTGATGGTAACTTATTTTATTTATTAACGAGGATTGCATTCCACACTTTTTTGAATAAAAAAAAATATGAACACAAACGTAAAATTTATTCAGATATTATGCCACGTCATCATGCATGATACACACTCAGCAAAAAGAAAAAGACAATTCAAACTGTTTGGATCTCAATCACCTTCCTCTGTGGCTTCTTCACTTCCCCTTTGGGCACCGTCACCGTTAGCACTCCGTTATCCATCGCTACCGTTACCTCGCTGCCCTTCGCGTTCTCCGGCAGCCGGAACCTCCTGCAGAACTTCCCCCGGCACCGCTCCATGCGCCACCACTTATTTCCACTGCTCTCATCGTTCTCGTCTCCGATACTTGCTCTATCTCCTTCGCTTAGAGTTCGTTCCGGAATATTTTCGTTTAATATTCTTGTTCATATATGTTCCAACTATGTTATGAATTCAAGAATAATAAAACAATATTCTTATTTATCTTTTGAAGTAAAATTATAAAGGAAAACAAGAAACTTATTGTTTCAAAATTTTTATACAATTTTAAAAAGTAGAAATAACAAAGATAAATAATCGTCTTAGATTTCTTAATGAAATTAAAATCGTAAAACGAAAAATCACGCCAAACAAATTCTAAATGTTGGAACCTTGTTATCCCATGTGCTTTCTAATCCCTTATTGAATATTGTGCTATTTTTTTTTGTCTAATAATTAGATAGAAATAAGATAGATTAATTATTGTTATTTTTTAAGTAAAATAAAAATGGTGGTGAATTCAAACTCATGTAACAGATATTAGTAAATCATATTCTACTTATAGTTTAAATTTAATTTCCATGAACATTGTTTCTTTTGATTTCCTCTCCACTATTTACTTAGTTCACAAGCAAGGCCCAAATATTATTAAGAGTGTAAATTGTTTAAATTATAAGTTTTCTCTATCTTCTATAAATTTTTAGAACGATGTCTAATAGGTTTTTAATTGTTAAACACTTTTTAAATAGTTTATCGATAAATATAAGAGTGGATTAGACACCACCATTAAAAGATTAAAAGTTTTGACACCTATTATATATAATTATGAAATTCATGAAATTCATGATCAAATTTATAATTTAACAAAAATTAAATATACTATAATTTATTAGTTTAAACTTTTTGGGTTTGAGTGGAACTTAATCAATTAATATAAAGAACCATTTATTACGCTAGGTACAAAATCGGTAATCCACATAAAATATCGTAATCTATCATATTAAAATTTTGAGTTTGTAGTAATGAACCTGGAGCACGGGTCCGCCACGGTGGTCCGCGAGCGCCACCTTGACCTGGTCCTTGCTGAGACCCGGCAGATCGGCGATTAAAACGTGAGCCGCCGGAGTCTCTTTCCAGTCGGTGGGCGTGTTCAGAACAGGACACTGGTTTATGATAGAGAGGAAGGGGTCCAAGAGCTCGCCGGCGCCGGCGATATTGAGAATCGAAGACATTTTTTCCGGTGAAGGGGACAACAAGAATTGGGGTATTTCTTTTATAGGGGGAAATTAAAGGAGGTCGATTTCTTGAAATTTCTTCGATCTTCGTTTTCTTCATAATTATTTCAGCTTAAAAAAATAATTTTCCTAACTTTAGTTGATTGGTCCATGTATTTTATTTTTAAATTGATTATTTTAGTGTATATTTACAAAATTTAAACCAAAACAATCATAGCTCAACCCCATATTTCTCTAGAAAATAAAATTAAGATATTAAAATGAACACTTATTTTGAATGGAAACGAATTGTCTTGGTGGTCAATAAGTACCAAGATAAATAGCAAAGATCTTAGAGGGAATAAGGTTTAAATTTTGTGGTAATCTCCTAGGATTTAATACCCTACGAATTATCTTATCAACAAAATGTAAAGGTTTAAGTAAGATTTTATTTCGATAATAATCTATCTCTTAATTAAATCGAATTCTTTGATCAATCGATCTACATTCAATCATCTTCATATCTCCTAATTATAAATTCTCAATCATGAAGGTTAACCACGCCTTTATCATGATTTCTAGAGAACAGATAGTTAGAATTTATCAAGAGATTGAACAAGAGAGATACCCGAATCAGATTTATTTAGTAGATAGGTTAAGAATCAAAAGAAGAGAAAAAAAACCTTAGAGTGATGTTAGAACCATCTTCCCTTCCACCCCCAGATTCAGAGAGGAGTTTACTCCATGAGAGAGAAGAAAAAAAAGAAAGAGTCGTGTTGGCTCTGATACCATTAAAGGTCGAGCGCAAGTGCTCTTTATAGAAGAGAACCGATAATTATGCCAGGGCCTAATTATTGGTTTCTTACTATTGTCTTGACACTTGTCTCAACATTATTTGTTACAACCTAAAGAGATAAGGTATGACCGACAAGACAAGTCCTTTATTGGCATCTTATCTCTTTGGAATCTACTTTTAAAAAGTAAAGATAAGCATGGCCGACAGGAGGCATCTTATCTTTGAAAAAGTAAGAAAAGAAATAAAGTAAAGCGGAAAATAATTACAAACTGACAAAAAAGAAAAGTCAGAAAATAAAAGTTGATATGACTGTTTTTGGACTGGATGCTTGCTTCAGAAATTTGATGAAGTCACCCGGCTTCTTCTGATTTAGCGAGGATTGCGGATTCTGTATATCAATCGTAAAGGCTTCTCTGGTTTCCAATTTGGACGTTTCATCCAGGGTCTTACTCTCGGCTTCCCGCCTATACTGCCCAAAGAACACCAACTGTCTTCGACCAGGGTTGCCTTATGAGATATGGAATCCTCTCAACTTAGTCAATCCTATACGCTACCTGCGTTGCCTTGTGGTTGATTACTCCACATCAGAAGCATGCCATCTACTGCATCTCAATTTCTTCTGCAAGTCCTTCACAAAAACAGACTGGGATAGAGATGATAAGATCGGAATACAATGATCTTATCCGAAATTAAAACGAAATTTAAACAAAATAATTTACAATAATTTACAATAAGAAATTTAAATTTAAACACTTGAAATTTCTAGTCTCAGCTAGGCTGTGAATCTAGATATGGGTCGTTGATGTCGTATCCTTCGAAGGGATCAAAGTCTTCTTCGTTGTCTTCGACATCATTGTTGACAGAGGCGGATGAGTCAGCATCCGTCTGTAGGTCGTCTGGGTCAGAGATCTGAACTGCGACCGTATTGAGAACTGAGTTGAAGTCGGCTTGAGATCCGGCTCCAGCTAGCGAGCTCATGACAGCTAGAAGGAAGCTCTCGTCTTCTTGCCTTATCATGTCTTGGAGATGAACGTTGGTCTTTAGCCAGTTCTTCATCTTATCAGATTCTAGGTAGGAATAATCAAATTTTTCCCACCATTTGATGCGTAAAGCTTTGCTCAACGCTTTGAAGTTGCCACTGGGTCGTAGCTGGAAATTCCAGCAAAAGATCCATCGTATTTGAAAATACAAAGCAAATCTAAACGTCTTAGAGAGGGGAGACGAGTAGATACTTTGTTGAAATAGATGGTATGATCTTTGAACTTCAACTGGAAAAATTTTCTCGGAGAGTCCAAAGTATGTCCACCAACTTTGAAACTAATTCGAAAAGTGAGATTTGTAAGCTTGCTTACAGAATGTCACAAACCAAGAATGATTGTAACATTGCAACCAGAAGACAAAATGTCACAAACCAAGAATGGTTGTAACCTTGCAACCAGAAGACAACGTACCATGCTTTCATGTAGTCTCGGTAGTTGTATGTGTGAGGCTGAAAGGTTGCCGTCAGTTTCTTTCCTACAAACATACCCTGTTTCCAGGAGGAAGGGGTAAGAATGCGGAAGATCCTGAGTTTTGAGTAAATGGTCATGGAGGGATCATTTCTGTCTGGAATATGAGTAATTTTTGCAAATTTTGAATCTACCAGAATAAACTCATAATAAGTGCGAGTTTTTTGGAGATCCTCTGGTAGGAAGTTAAAGCCATGAGGAAATATTTGTCTACAGACTTCTTGGACCGAAGGTCCGTCGAACTCTGGTTCAATTGTTGAGTCCACCAGGGTAGTTTTGGTGAAATAACCAGTAATTGGAGGCCTTGGCTGGAAAACCTTTGGCCTAATGATTTGAGAGAACGAGGAAGGATTCCTCGGAACCGTCGGTCTTGAAGTGGCGGCTGCCGTAGCAGGGCGCCTGTTTCTCGTTGTATTGCCGAAGGGGCGTAACAACGTGCTTGAGGGAGTGGGAAGGCTAGGAGGGCTTGTTTGAATAGTCAAGGCTCTCTGTGCAGAACCTTGCTGGCGTCTGGATACCATTTCAAACTGGATATCCATAGCATAATTTTCTGCACTCATCGGAGATGGTACAGATGATTGAGTAATGGGCCTTTTGCCTTTTGAGATAGCAGCTCTCGAGGAGGATGCTACTGTTTGAGGAGAAATGGTTGATTCATTTCTCGGCGACGGAGGTCGCTGATTGTTTTGCGGTGGAGGCCGCTGAGTGTTTGGCCGTCTCCGGCCGGGAGGAGGTTTCATCTTGAGGAAGAGAGGTCAGAGCTGATTCTGGGGTTTTCAAGAGATGTTCTCTTGAGAGGTAATCAGCAAGGGAGTTCTCGCTTCCTTTTATAGGCTCGATTTTGAAATCAAAGCAGGACAGTATGGCTTGCCACCTTGCAAAGATTTGCTTTGAGACAAGATTCTTTACATCTTTTTCAAAGATGTATTTACTTGCTTTTGAATCTGTCCGTATGGTGAAATCTTTGTTGATAAGATCTCCTTGGAACTTCTGAATGCAAAGTACTATTGCTAATACTTCTTTCTTCACCGTGGAATAGTTTTTCTGGGCACTATTCCAAGTTCCTGAATGATAACGAATTATTGTGATTTTTCCGTTAACTTCTTGTTTGAGAACACCGCCGTAACTGATTTCTGAGGCGTCGGTGTCAATTATGAGGCTTGCCTGTTCATCCACTAGAGATAAGCATGGGATGCTTTTCGCCAGTGATTTAATGGGTTGGACTGCGCGTGTATGTTCTACAGTCCACGGCTTTGGATTCTTTTTCAATCTGTCATATAGTGGCTGACAGATTGTACTGAGATCTTTAATAAAGTCTCCAATGTAATTCACACAACCCAAAAACCGCTGTAGTTGTGTTTTGTCTTGAATGATATCTGGGAATTTATCAACAAATTCCAAAGACCGTTGGATTGGTTTAATAATTCCTTGATTAATATCATATCTGAGGAATCTAACCTTCGTCTGGAACAACTTAATCTTTGGTTGGGAAACCACAAGACCATTTGTTCTAATAAAATTGAGGAATAACTGGAGATGCTTGAAGTGCTGATCTACAGTATTCGAGAATACCAGAATGTCATCAATGTAGACTATTGTGAATTCTTGGTACTTGTTGAAGATATCGTTCATAATCTTCTGAAATTCGGAAGGAGCATTCTTCAATCCGAATGGCATGACGTTCCACTGATACTGTCCGAATGGAACATTAAAGGCCGTCTTGTAACGATCGCTTGGGTGAATCTGAATTTGCCAAAACCCAGATTTTAAATCAAACTTTGAGAACACTTTTGCAGAAGTGATCCTTTTCAGTAAATCCTGTCGATTAGGTATAGGATACCTAATCTATTTGAGGACTTTGTTGAGGGGCTTGTAATTTATTACGAGCCTGGGGATTCCTCGTTCCTTTTCGGCTTGATTGTTTACGTAGAACGCCGAACAAGACCAAGGGCTTTTGGAAGGACTGATTAATCCTTTTTTTAGAAGATCTGATATCTCGTTAGTAGATGTTTCGACCAGATCTTTGCTCATTTGAATAGGCCGAGCTTTGGTAGGGATTTCGGCCTCCTTGAATCCATCTACATATGGCAGATTCACCATATGCTTTTTCCTATCCCAGAATGCATTCGAGATATTTGAACAAACTTCTTTTTCAAGCTTTTTAAAGAAGTTTTGAACTCTTTGCTGAACAGATGGCGTGTTGATCTGAATAGTCACCTTGCAAGTCTTTATATCGTCTTGAAGGAATTCAATCTGTTTTTCCTTCTTTGCGATACTATTGATATAAAGACTGATGTCTTCTTCAATTGATGAAATATATCTTGGAATTATCGGCTGACTGAATTCAAAGATAATTTCTTTGTTGAACTTCTTAGACACTATTCCTTTATCAGTGACTAAAAAAGGATATAATTGAGTTAAGAAGGGGGTACCTAGTATGACTCCTTCATTGAGGTTTTTGACCAGGATGAAGGTGTTAATAAGGCATACGTCGTCCTTGCAGATGTGGACCTTTGATAATTTGTATTTGATGTTCAACGAATTTCCACTGGCTCCGCTAAGAACTTCTTTAGTTTTTTTGAAATATTTAGAAGGAACTAATCCTTCTTGGATGACGTTCTGATCGGCTCTAGAGTCGATAAGAGAGAATGTTTCCAACTGGAAGTCTCTGGTTTTGAAAATAATCTTGGACATCCATTTCTGATTTTGAACCTTGCTAATGTAATTGATTCCACTTGGTGAACCAATCTGTAGAGCTTGTTC